CCAAATGTTGTTTGCAAAATGATGAAGACTTTGCGTAATATGTTTGACATAATGCATTTGATAAATGTCAATCATATTGAGGGAATGGTAACTGGGCAAGATAAAGAGGCATCTTTGATACCCCTTATAGCAGGTCTTTTTTTTTAAGTTTCTTTATTCGTCATGACCTGTTTAATCCATCAACTATAATGGGTTATCAAACAATAATAAATGGTGTACCTATATAAACATAACCATTATTTCACACATTGGTAACTGTTTTAATTCGTCAGAGTGGGATTCATTCAATTTTTTAATGAACATTGTAATTTAATTGCTCATAGTAACTATTTTTAGTTAAAAGTAGAGCTTGTTACAGCCCCAATAGCTTTCAGCTACAAAGATCTCAAATCAAGCACTGTTTACAGAATCTGAGTCAATTTGGACTTCATATGCAATCAAAATATATCAGGAGAATAGTTTCGAAACACATATAAACCCATTAATTTGTGAATATGCACTGTCTAAATGTGAAACTCTAATAGTTACTTCAATCAGTTACATACATATTTTTAGTTAATGGAGAAGAATAGTTACGCAACACAATCAAACCCAAAAAATAGAAGAAAATCCATCAATTTATGCCTGACTAGCTAATGCATCAGCTACACAAATTGATCCCCTGTAACCATGTTGTAGATGAAAGGCAATCTTGCAAAGTAGCTGCACAATTTGATCAAGGATACCCATATAAAGCCAAGAACATCTCACCTTAACTCTCACAGTATTCACTAGAATCAGAGAATTTGAGTCAATTTGGATGCCATATCCAGTCAAAATATAATATGAATAGTTTCGAAACACATTTAAACCTATTAATTTTTGAATATGCATTGTCTAAATGTGAAGCTCAAATAGTTATTTCAATCAGTTATGAACCTATTTTTAGTAAACTAAATAGTTGATGGATCAATAAAATCTCTAATGACATACTTGTAAGAATTAATTCCTTAAAATCAGGAAAATAATAACGCAACACAATCAAACCCATTAAATTTTGATTTAAAACAATATATATTTGAAAGACAAATAGTTACTTAAATCAGTTACAAAATTATTTGAGTTTTAAAAAACAAGTATAAATAAAGTTTTGATAACGACAGACTTGCAAGAATTCAATCCTTAACATCAGGAGAATAGTTACGGTGCATAATTAAACTCATTAAAGTTTTGAATATGAACTGTATACATTTGAATCTCAAATAGTTATTTAAAACAGTTACATAACAATTTTCATATAATTTCATATAAATATGCTAAAATAAATTTGCAAATTCATAATATAATTTCACATAATTAGGGTTTTACGATTTTGTATTTTTTCTGAATCAACTTACACAGTTTATGAACAAAAAAAAACTAACTAAACAATTAATGAAACCCCCCCCCCCAAAAAAAAATAGAATGTCACCTCAATTTTTTGTTGAAGAAGTGCCGAAGAAGATGAACTGTTTCTGGATGATGTCGGCGAAGATGAACAGTTGGAATACTCTTTGGTCGTTCAATATTCAACAGGATGTTGAAGGATGATGTTGCCGAAGAATGAGGATGTGGAAGTGTAACACTCCGCATTTTATTTTATATATATGCATATAGATATATATTAAATAATTGTTGTAAAATGGGGATAGGTGTAGCGATGTGTGTTTGAATTTGGTAGATTAGAAATGGAAAAAAGGATGAAATAGTGAACAGTGCACGTGAACTGTGCATTGGCTGCAACTTCAAGCCCAATTTAGACCTTGATGCAATCAATATCTCTTAAAACTCAAAACATGAAAGTTGTAGAGTTCTTTCTTAGCTTTCCATATCATCTTGAATCATCTCAATCGGAGCTCGGATGAGAGAGTTATGCCCCGAAAACGAAGTAATATCGAAGCAGCCCATGAATAGTAAAGGAAAAACAAATCGGGATTTCTGTGTTTAAAAACACAGATTTCAACCTTTACTCTCATTTCTCTCATTCCACTTTCAACCCACTTCTCTTAGGACTCTAGAGGAAGAGAGAAGGATAAAACACAAGATCAAGAAGAGATCTATACTTCAAAGAAGATCAAATCTTCATCTTCTTCACACTAAACCTAGGTTTTTAAGAACATTGAGGTAGGGTTTTCTTCTATCCTTGTCCATTGATGTTAGGGTTATTATACATGTAGAATTTGGCTCTTAATAGTACATATTTGTTATGGGTTCCTTGTTCCTTGGTATGTTTACAAACATTCCCATGATTTGAACAAAATGATGGTTGGAAATCCATCAAACTCTAGTTTTTGGGGGAAATATGGATTTTTCTCTATATCTTCACATCATCTTGATTTCGAAAATTCTAGAACTTTGTGTTGGGTAGTAAAATGATTGTATTGATGATCTCATGCTTATTTCCTTTAAACTTGTCTCTTGTTATATGATTTGCGAAATGGGTATATTTTCTTAAATTGTTCTATTATGTATCTTGCTTGTGAAAATTTGGGGAAACATCATGGAATTTGCTTGTATATGAGGTTGAGTAT